ATTGGATGTATTCGTTGCTTTGTAGTCGAACCGTACTATTTGAAATGTGGCATTCTCAGTCGAAGATGAACAACACTTTGCAGCGTATGGGTATCGATGTTTTATAGCAATTGAAAGAATACAGTCGCTAATATGGGAATGGATAAGATGACTTTTAAGGTTACATCAGAATCTACATATTTCTCCAGTCAGTCCATATCGAAAGACCTCCCTCCCTGATAGAGTCATTGCCTCTTAAGTGTGTGCTGAGTGGTAAGGGCGGAAAAGTGGTCAGTGTACTCACAAGCCAAACAGGTAAGAGTAAGCTGAGGTTGAGGTTGCCTTCACCACTGTTTTGCTTCGTTGCCCGTGGGCTGACTTCTGAATGTGACGACTACCATGACGATGCCACATTTTTTCAAGAATGTCGGCATGAATTTGGTGGGCAAGTAAAACAACTATCAACTGTCATTTGGGATTGCTCTCCAATCGAGCTAGAATCTGTCGGAAAAATTGTTTGTGATGGACCAGAAACCATGTAAAATTCAATCATGTGGGCAGGACCCACGTAGATGTCATGCGTTTTCTGAGGAGTAGCTCAATTTTGCACTGAAAAGCAGGAGAGAGAAGGAGAATTAACTCAAACTATTGAAACAGATCTTCGATTCTAGACACTGGGTACAAGTGGCAAGCTTGGCGTGACTTTCAACAGCTTTGGCAGCCAAATCCAATTTGTTGTCTTCAAATCGTGGTTCCGTGCTTTATGAATGTTAATAATTAGCAACTGGCACTTGCATGGAGGCGTTCTGGGAGGACTGGTCTAAACTTTTCTACGAGAAATGTTTAATCCCATGATGTGGAAGAAAATGGAGAACATTGTGGGTAAGTCGTAGAATAGTCATTCTAGTTTTCTGAAATGTGCGGGACACCGAAGCATAGTTTAACACACTTTTTTTGAGAAATACAAGCTAACAAAGCAAGCTGATAAAACTTTTTTCGGGTTATCTTTACAATACACGACTCTCTAGACTCAGAAGCAACTCGTACTTCAAAGCAAGTGCAGTGTCATTCGCAGAGCACACATCTTTTTTGGAGGCACTTCCTTTTGGAGGCACACAGTTTTGTAGCTTATCTCCTACAAACGGCTTAGCCCAGAACTGACCAGAATGAAATTATTTTTTTAAACTTACTGGGAACAAAACTGGTAGTGTCACCATATAGAAAGAACAACAATACAGTGTTTTCCCCCAATAGCTTGTTTGGGTGAATCGGATGATATTTCCACTTGATTCTCCTTAAATACGGTAGAACGTTCTTGGAAGAGACAAACTAAAACTATAGAACACCACGTTCTTTTGCTTCGCTGGCGTTCCGAACCCATTTACATTTAATAGTTATTTGTGGAACGGCGCACATGACCGTTCTATCGATACATTTTTCTGATAGGCATGTAGGCTATAAGGTTGGGGATAACAACACTACATAAACCAGTCTTATATATTGCAAGAATGCAGTGCAGCCTAATGTGTTTAGTTCCAACTTATCGATCTTAAACCCCGCACACAAAGTGGAGAGTTTGGCCTAACCATTCAACTCCAATCTTTTATCGATAATTTGCATACCATCCGCCGGACGATTATTGTCTTCAGCAGTTAGACAGCTGAAAATTTGTTCCCTGCTCATTCTACGGGAGCTATGGCATCTTTGGTGCCTAAATAAAGAGCATTTGAGTAGACTTCAATTATTACTAATATTACTTAATATTTTCACCATTACCGCTTGCTAGCACCATTACTAGCTGGGCAGCAAAACGGCAGGGCTAAGTGTAGGAGATGCGAAAAAATGCACAAATTCATCTTGAACGACAAGCCTGCTCTTTTCCCAGAATCGCCGTTCTTGAGAAGAAATCTACCTCAAATAATACAAACAAATTCTACACCGGGCCACTTTACGCCGTTTTTGCAAAGATACCCATCTGGATAATCTTTGTAACGGGTGATACTATGGTTGTATTCTTGAATGAAAGCGATTAATACGGAGCAATGTCGCGAAAACGGTGAGTGCGCGCTTCAACAAAATGCGAGGCAGTCTTTAAATCACCTACGCTGCTGGAAAATTGCTTTCTATTATGCAGTTTTGGGTCAATTTGGCTTGAGTGGAAAAGTCAGTATTTGTTTGGTCAGCAAGAATAAAGTGAGACATTTTCCCATCGAGATGGAAAAAACTTGGAACTACACACTTCATGTTGTTTCTGACTTCTACGTAGTTTTCCAAAACCCAAGACATTCGACTTGCATGCAAATGAAAGATGATCAGATCGATAGTTTTAGTGGTTTTACGCAAGGACTTCCTATCTATGTCTTACTTTCTATATAAACTTGGCGAATCTTAGTTTGTGTCCTTTCGTCCTGTCTTAAACACTGGAGCTGAATTTAAGTGAACAAAGTCACGCGCAACTCTACTTTTTCTTTTCATACGTGCTTGACTTTCTAGGCGTGTACTGATTGAAACGACGATGACCACCGTGAGCATTCAATAGATCGTCTACCGTGAATTACAACCACGATTGCAGAGCATTAATAAAAGCTCCATCCATCTGTCCAAAACGTCTCACCTGGTGACAAGTTTATCTTGTTCGCAGTGGGTTGAGGGTGTAGCCTGCTTGTCAAAACGAGCCTGTTCAGACAGCCTACAAATATTTTGAAATCCCAGAGAATTTCAAATGTTGCACTGTTTTCATAAAGAAAAACTACTCACAAGGTTGCTGAAAACTCTTTGACAGCCCACGACCGGTCTCACCCTGCTTCGGGCTCATCGGGTAGTCGCAGTCCCCGAGTTTCCGTCAACCTTATGATCTAATTGAACCCAAATTGGACTGTTTTGGAGAACTAAACTCGTTTTCAAATCAGTTTGGTTTTTCACCGTTTTGATTTATTTGCTTTAAATAACGTTTTCATGTACACATATTACCATATCAGTAGGAGTTTGCTTTACATTGGACTAAGAAAGCGCCATTTTTCTAAGTTCAATATGTCAAGTATAAACCCCAACAGAAATAATGTAATGAAAAGTTCAGTTGTTGCCTCGATATCCTTGGGTTTTTATATTGCGAATATCAGTTATCTCGTTACCATGGTCATAGCATGTTCTGGCCTGATTCTCTTCTGAACACAAGATTGCCCATGTGACCATCTAAAAGCATCGACTTCTAAGGCAGAGCATACTGGACCGACATTCCTACTTCGCTACTTTTGTTCATTAGTTTAATCGCAAAGTCAAATTTTGACGGGTTGTCTTCTTTGAAAGCATCAATCATAAGCTGATATGAGTAGGGACTTCGAGATTGCTGAGATCTTCGTTTGCTTTAATTCACAAACTCCGAATTTTGCCTTTTTGATCCAAGGTCAGAAGCTTGGAGCCCTTGGTTTCACTGGTCGGCTACTACCGTACTATCAGTGCAACGAACATGCAGTTATGGGTCATTTAATTGCAACATTATAAATGCTGAAACCACCTGCACTGGTTACATTCACATCCATAGAATGAAAGATGTTAGTTTTGGGAGCTTCAGGCTGTTGGCCGTAGTACATAAGTTCTCTTCCTATGACAACGGGAAAGGGTTGAACATTTTCATGTCGTCGATATACTTGGAATAGAAGTAATCTTGTTTCTGCAACTTGTTTTACAATAGTGGGTTCGTAGCTTGTGTGTACCGGGACGTCGAATCTCGTTGGACTCGCTGCAAGTATTTTGTTTACAGGGTGGCCAATCTATAGGGTTTGGTACTCAAAGTGGGAAAAGGGTGCGAAAGCGTTACTTTCAATACTTTTCCGTTTACTTACTTATCATTTTGCAGACAACCTTTGATTTTCGCAATTCTATTTAGACTCCAATAGACCGAATTTACATTTCTTGCTGCTTCTCAAGGGCGAAAATTTTTCAGCACATTATTGTTCGTTTGAATAAGTTGACAACATTTGGACCAAGTTGTGTTTGTCCGCGCCATGTCAAACTCAGTAAACAGGTTAAAAACACCTGAACGTCACATGAGAACTGAAATATTGATTGCGGAGATATCGTATGCCAACAGTTCCCATTTGTTCGGTCCACCGAGGTTGTACATCTATAAAAATTTCAGTAAACAGGTGAACAGCTCGAACCGATCATACTTATATTTCCACCAAGTTGTTCAAACCGTTTAATGAAGTCTGGGCCGGGAAGCGGCAATCCAAACGTGTGCTTTCTGAAATGTTTGGGGAAAACTACCGATGGCGTAGATTTTCCTGTCGACTTTATGTAAATAATTGTTTTGTTTATATGAGGAAGTATTCGAAAAAACATCCTCAACTTGACTGCATCCCATCAGGCCATTCCGACTGGAACAACTCAATCGCGACAGAAAATCGACCAAACTGTATATGAAATGACTAGCTATGAGAACGGTTAGTGATAGCTTCGAAAAAAATCGCAAAATGGATTTCAGACTCCTGAGCAGACTTGGTGGAGCCGACGAAAATGAGGTATTACACCGCAACTCTTGAAGACGCCCCAGGTGCCCGCTCGATGAAACTAGCTCACTACCAGAACACGTGCATTGAACGCAAAGGGATTTCGGAACAATTTGTTTATAGTTGCTTATTTATCAGGTGGCTGTCGATCGCTTCTCCGAGCTTGGGAATTGAGATGAAAACGTTTCGTCACCATTCGAGGAAACATCATCAGTGCGCTGTTGTCCCTCTCTTCGTGCTTGTGCCCATATAGTTTACAAAGTGCGGCCTTTGCGCTGTAACCTGATCGGTCACTGACAATCATCGCATTTGGTTTCCGGCTGGTCCGATCATAGTCTGTGTTGCGATGTGGCTTGCATTTCCCCTTCCTATGGCCACGCTACCGTTAAGATTGCCGTGCATTATTTTCTGTTCCAATTGTTCGTGATATGTATCGCGTCTTGGTCGGCTTCACTGTTGTCTAACTGTTTGCTAGTGAACCTTCTATTTTTAGTAGTTTGTAGTTCTACTTACTTCTCCCTTGAATCCTTGCTTGGTTCCGGTTTTCCCTTCTGGATATCGTTTGTCCTCAAAGATTGATAAACAGGATCAACCACAACGAGTCTGTTTGCTGCTCCATCAATGGAGTACCAGGCCTCCATGTACTCGCGACCTTTCTTCGCCCTCGTTTGTTCCAGTATGTTGATGTCATTCCAATCGGACTTGTGTCTTTCCCCATCTTCGTGTGCAGAGATGAGTGTGAGTTGCTCGTGTATCCAAGTAGCGAGCGTGTGTACGCTGGCTCTGGCTGACAGTTTCCTCCGTTTGTAGTGTTCTTTACATCCTTGCATTAAATTTTGTAGAATACATTCGTCCTTTCCATTGCATTAAGTATCCCCTTTTGTTCCGATACTGCTATTCTCAGTGCCAGGTGGTCTTTGGGCAACTCTTACGGCAGGCTATTGTAGCATTACTGCGGCGTGATGGTTCCCTTGTGCTTCATCGGTTTGGTTGATTCGCCTTTTTTCAGTGATCCCCAGGTAAAATCCATCGGGTATCCGTTTCTTCGAAAGCTTTCGTAAAGGAGTATATCTTCTTTTGCCTGAAATTGTGCGTTTCAGTTAGTATGAATGATGTCCGAACACAGCACCATTTGTGACAGTCTGGATGGTTGCTGTGTTAGTTCAGAATTTGATCTGTGTGCGCAGCCTTTCTGTTCGCATTTGTCCATTTGACAACCTTGTGATGGGGACATCTAAAACCACCAGCTTGTTGTTGTTTTCCTTTTCCATCGTGAACTTGATCACATGGGAGACATTGTTTATCAATTGATTGCTCACTGTTGTTCGCTCTTCTTATGATGACAAAGGTATTGTCTACATATCGTTTCCACAGTTTTGGGTTGATATCTGTTCACTTGATCCTTTCCAGTTTTTGCACTAGAATCTCGCCGATGAACCCTGAAATTTGGGAACCCGGCAGTTTTTCACCTGCGACGTAAGACAATGCTGGTCTTGGAGGCACCTGCCTGTGGACAATAAGGTTACGAGCGGGCGTCGGAAATCACCCTTGTGTTTGCTTCTAGTATTCAGTTAAGGAAGCCAGTGTTGTTCCGCGCGATACGCAAACTCTATAACAGACCGAGGTTGAGTTGGCAGTGCGTGTTCGAAAAGCAGAATTAGTCCACTCAAAAACCTAGGAAAATTACAAATGTCTAACTGAAACCCAGAGCAGTTTTGGAGTTGTGTGTTGAAGTATCATTGAAATTGATATAAAAGGTGTCTGGAACTTGTTCCTGCATACGTTTGGCATACTATCCATTAGTATTTTATATGAACCTCTGTGCTGCAGCTGAAACAAGTAAGTACAACGCCGCTTCATTTTGCGATACCGCTACCAAATACTCATTAGGGAGTAATAATCTTATGATGCACATACACAAATATTGTCTATTCTGCTGTAATTCTTGATGGGTAAAAAGGCGATTCGTGTTGATAAACACATAGGACAATAAACGCTAACGGGGGCCTTCGTCAGACCTTCGCAGTCTAGAGGTGATCAGTCTTGTGGAAATCGGTAAGTCTGTGATTTCCTGGCACAGTAATTTCAACCGGAAAACATGCTAGCTTTTTGAATTTTTGCTCTGAACAACAATTTAGTACGTTTGTCGTAAAAAACAATCAATTCGTTTTCGGAACCACATCAGATGTCGGCGAAAGTTTTCCCATCAGACTTTCCGATTGAGACTACCCATAGCCGCTCTTGTCAATTAATCACTTGGTGAATTCTACTTACGGCTGAAGGCGCAAATATTATGCTTCAGTAGCTAGGGTGTCATCACCTTTGTGAGCGAAACAAAAACAAACTTGAAAATTGTTGTTCATAAGTTTGCGTAGAGAAATAACAAAAAAAACTTGCTTTTCTCCAGCCGTTTTCCGTAAGACTGGCAAAGAATATTGACAAACCTCAGAGGTGAGGGAAACCCTCAGCTAGCAGAAGCGTTGTTTACCGTTTCGATTGTATGAGCTCGGTTTTGTATACCGAGGGAATTCAGTGAGCATCCGAAACGGGAGAAAAATAAATAAATGCATGTTTTGTGGTTATGAGCAGGCAACAAGATTTTTGTATTCCTTTGACCTCAGACCTATATAAGTCATTTGTTGTAGCACCCTCAAGACAGTGACTGACTGGTGAACGGTTAGGTTTTCAACTGTTAGCCTGAAAGTTGCATGTTTGGGTAGTCCTGAGGAGTTGTAAGATGCGCACTGCTTACTTAAACTGAACTTTTTACGGTTCTCATTGGCTTTTTGGCATCGACTTGCTTTAGTTTCAAGATGAAATCTCAACCAACTGCTTATTTTCTGTGAACCAAACTGGTTAAGACTCTACGATAATTCGCCGTGTTCCACAAAAGAGGACCTAATCAGTAAACCTGCTAAAGATTGTCTAAGTCGTAAAGTCACGGTCGATTCGAACCTGTGATCTCCCGCTCGGCCCCGATCCGCTGATCAGCAGTGTGATTAGCTCCTACTTAGGCAGGATATAGTGCCACCTACCCTTCAATCACGAAGACACATCAGGTGAACAGGTATCGACTGCTGCTCGAGTGCGATGGAAGTTTCACTCACCTTATCAAATCATTCTTTTTCTTTCCTAATTTACTGATTGATGGTAGTAAGAATAGAATAAGCAATTTTTACTGAAGATTTTGTCATGTAAGTGAGGCTCACCTACGATGAAAAGCGGTGCTATGCTACAATTCGTCTACTGTTGTAAGTGCTAGTTCAGCGCTTAGTCCATGTACGAACAATTTGGTGTGTGCTAGTGCCTGTTGTCACCTCATTTTGTCATGATCTTATTCTATCTCAAGGTCGCATGATCAGTGGCAGAATAGGTATTTAGTGATAAATATCTCGGTTAGGGAAACAATACTACCCTGATGTAAGCAAACCCTTTACCATTAAAGATTCCAACCTACACAGCGCACCCATTTCGCCTAAAGATGCAGCTATCTGGTCTATCAACAAGTGTTAAACAAGCTGGTGAGCATCGTACTGTGATTGTTTTCCACTGTAAAAAAAGTGGAAGGGGTTCAAAGATCGTTTCAAAATATCCGCTCCTAATCATGCAATTTTTGGAGCAACGTCACTTTGCATTTTTCCGAATTTCTCCATAGATTTCAGTCTGTCATCAAGATATCTGACCGAAACATGCCAGAAGAAATCTACGTATACTTCACGAAACCTGTCGTTTATTTTTTATGGCTTGGTAGGTGCTAGGTACTTGATCTTGTAGTAATACCCCTGAGCGGTAGGCTCGTTGTGATTCTACATCTATTAATTTGAACCATACAATAATAAGCTGACAGTTTCACACAGTTTTTATCCTGAGAAAATAACGCGCGAACAAGAATGTAAGTGTGGCTTTCTTCTTTGACCTTACGTGATCATGTAGCGAACGTCTCGAAACCGAATGATGCGATATTCGCTTGAATACACGAATATTATTCCTATATACCACAGCTCAAGTGAGTCCTGAAAGGGAAAAGCACCTGTCAACAGAAACTTCGTCTCACTGCGATCAGACAACCACACATTGTCTGGATTTTGAGCGAACTAACCGATGCAAGCAAGTGACCCAATGGGAAACTGCTGCGTGTCAAGATGCAATAAATTACTCACGACGTACAACGATAAAAGTGTAGCCTACTGTGAAGGTTTGCGTCCCACAGTTACAACAAGGATGGACATAAACCGGCGACCGACTAATCATATTTTTATTTCTTATAATTTTAAAGATCTTTACCAGAATAGCTGAAAAACTACAATATACCAAATATTTCACAATTTGCCTAATTTTATTGAGGAATAAAACGTCCGGCCTATCGTACAAAAATTTTTAAATCGCAGCATAACAACGGTTACAAATACCGAGCAAATAAAACAGTCAACAATCGAAAGGTGATTAAATTCTTCGGATAATCTCACTCCTCTCCAGATTAATCACTGAGTATAAAATTGTCCTTTTATTTGGGATTCCAGTGGCACTTCTCGTGGGGCTGTTCCATCAGTAAAATAGAATACCTCTGACAGTACTAATCATTGCAGTGGGCGTACATCAGAGCTGCTAAGATACATGAAGTGGCGCTACATGAATTCCAGCTATTTCTAATTCAGTTTACTCTAACTGGAATGAGAAGGAGAAAGTTTTGTATTCGGATCAGGCGTTCCTCCGACTACTGTGTGCTCGTACAGTGGGCTAATGGGAATGTCGATTCGGATATGCTATAGCCCGTTTGTGCGTACCATATTCTTTATTGTACACAAACAAAATCATCAAATCAGTTTACCACTCGCGATACACCAACCACCACTCGAAAATCAAGTACCTTCAGGCTATCGTTGAAGTCAGGTGACACCATAGTTCACTTGTTAGCACAAAATTTTTCAAAGAATGATGAATAGTTTTGTAATGTACTACTGAAAATCAGTCGACAGCCCACGACCGGTTTCGCCCTTCTTGGGGCTCATCAGGAAGGCGCAGTCCCCGGGTTTTCGTCAAGCTTATGTTCTACTTGAAACCAAATTGCACGAAATTAGCGAATATACACTCATTTACAAACAAATTTGGTTTTTCGAGAGACTCACCTGGAACCCAGCTGAATCTCTCGTTTGTGAAGTTTTCAGACAAGAATATCCCCTTTTTCAGTATCTCAGAGACAGAGAGTACAGAGACAGTTGGTTGATAGTGGGATTAAAGTTTTATCCAACTCTAAAGTGTAAAACAGTCTAAAAAGCCTTTGGGTGGCGCATTCGAAAAATGCATGTTGCGTGATCAGGACAGAGTCTCTGCTTATACAAATTGATTTTGACAACTGATTGTTGGATAACTAATTCGTATTGCGGGCACCGACCGTAGCCACAGCTTACCAGTGGATCGATATTTTGTCTACGAGGTTCTCAGTAGATAAAAAAACCATTGGCATAGGCAGATCGCGTGACCTATTCCCCTTTCAGTTTGCCGCTTTTGGCTCCAAACTTGTTCCTTTGAGGTAAAACCGAACAGTCTGTCATGCGTTTGGTGAGAATTGTCTTTTTTCTGCAACGTATGAGTTAAGTGGAAGGCTGATTAAAAATCAAGAACGCAATGTGGCAGACAAAAATGTGCGTTTTGTGGTGCTTGTCAGAATATCAAGTTTGTTTTAACTTTGGTTCGATCATGCACTTAAGTTCACCTAGTGTTTATTTTTTATTTGAAGAAAACCTCTTTGGAATGCAAAAACTACTGACGTGCATGCAGCTGCACGTATACTATACAAACATTAAACGGAGTGGTGATGAAATATAAACTA